GTAACTATGTGAAAGAGCTGCAAGACCAAGGACTGATTGAACGCCAATACTGTCCTACTGATCAGATGATTGCCGACATCCTGACCAAGCCGCTTGACAAGCAACGTTTTGAGACTCTTCGTGAATGTTTGAATTTGCATGACTTTCGTGTTATAACTTGAGAAGGGGTGTTGGGTATTACAAGTTGAAAACACTCAGTATATCTGGGGGTAAATGTTTGTTTATGTTACTCACAGGAAGTCACATGTTTCTCATGTAACCAATGCTCTTTAGCTGTAGGATGCCCTGAAATTTTCTCCCTCATCTAGGGATTTGATTGGCACTAAAGTGTCAAGTCAAGATGTATTAGCATTTTATGGCTCTCTTCCCGTCTTTGTTTGGTGTTCTGAAGAAGAAGAAGAGTGGCCATACTCTCTCTCTTCTAGTTTTGTCTTTGTAGAATAAGGATGTAGCTGATTATGCTCTGTTGTTATTTTCATCCCAGTTACCCTTCCCATGCTAGAATTTAGTAAAAAAATTATATTTAAATTTGTATTAGCATTTTATGGCTCTCTTCCCGTCTTTGTTTGGTGTTCTGAAGAAGAAGAAGAGTGGCCATACTCTCTCTCTTCTAGTTTTGTCTTTGTAGAATAAGGATGTAGCTGATTATGCTCTGTTGTTATTTTCATCCCAGTTACCCTTCCCATGCTAGAATTTAGTAAAAAAATTATATTTAAATCACACATGGATTCTGAGTCTGAATTATTTTACTCTGGCTCTGCTGGACTATCTTATCTCTGCTAAATACCATTTTTTCAATATCTCACTATCACCCAACAGCCTTGGACCCCTCGGGCAAATTCCACCTCTTGCGTGTGATGTCCGTCTGTTTTGTGGGCCAAATCCTCCGGCTGGGTATGCCCGTTTGTCACTGGAGAGAGAAGACCCTGATGCTGGGAAGGTTGAAGGTCAACGAAGACGGGGACGGCAAAGGATGAGATGGTTAGACAGTGTCATAGATGCAACGAACATGAAGTTGAACAAACTTCAGAGGACAGCAGATCGGGAAAACCTAGGCCCTACTGAGAATTTTGTTCGTCTTTAAGGTGCTAGTTGGACTCCCACAGAAGCTTGGATTGCAAGAAGCCCCTCACAGCAGAGCCCCCTCTTCTGGTTCCCACTGCACGCTGGGGAAAGAGCAAGCACGTGTCGAACGTCTTTTTGAAGCTCCTCGCCCTGGTGATGGGGGGGCGGGGAGGGACGCTCCTAAACTTTGGACAGGTGTGTTTTCAAGGATCGAATGACTTTGGCCCTCAGGGCCTTCTGGAAATCAGGCCATTTGCAGAGCAGCGCATTCTCTGCTGGCTACAAAGTTTACACACAACTTGTAGCCACAGCAGTAATTTGGGGGGAAAGAAGCAAGTTCGGCCGGGGAATAAGGATCCGGCCAGCAAAACCCTTTTCGCCTTCTCTGTCCTTTGGATTTGTGGGGTTCGGCCTCCCTTCTCTTCCTCGCTCCTACCAACTGCCCCCCCCCCACTTTCTTTCCGTCTTAGCCGTTCCGTCCCGAAAGCACCAGCTGCCCACCCCCTCTCGCCCTCTTTCCCCACCCACATCTTCCCCACTTTGCAGGCTGTTCCTGCATTGGCCTCCCTCACGACTGAAGAAGTGTGCATGCTCAGGAAAGCTTAAACTCAGAATAAAACTTTGTTGGTCTTAAAGGTGCCACTGGACTCCAACTTTGTTCTGTTGCTTCAGGCCGACACGGCTACCCACCTGAATCTAACTAACTTCCTCCCGGTCATCTAATCTCAGCCTCCTCACTCTTTGCCCGCCCCGTTGCTTTCTTCAGCTGGTCCTCTCTTTCCAAACTCTGGGCAGGAGGACTAGAAGGTTGGGTTTTTTTTTTTTTAAGCAAAACCTTTAAAACACAAGTAGGTAAATGGAAAAGTTGACCCATCGCCCTCTCCGCTGAGCAGTTTATCCTCCAGCCGTAAAGGAAAGTACATCAAGGTCGTCCCTAATTAGTTTTCAAGGGTTTAAATCAAGGATTGGAGCATAGGAGGAGGTTTTCCATTACCCATAACAATACTCCACAGACATCTTCCCGTCGGAAACTGGTTTAACTGACAGGGCGCCCCATGGAGGAATTCTGGGAAATGTAGTTTTGCGAAGGTTCCATAAGGTGGGTGGAAGGGGAGGGGAGCCTTTGCCCTCTCGTAGGAAAGGATCGCCATTCCCCAAAGGGCACGCATGACCAGCTGTTTTCCCTTTCCATTCTAGATATGTGGTTGCGGTCACACACTAAATAATCTACTTTCAACCCACTTCCAGTGCACTTTCCAACTGGATTTTTGTTGTGTGAACTGGCAAAATCCAGCTGGAAAGTGCATTATTTAGTGTGTGTGACCGCAGCCTGTGTGTCAGAATCTGCTAACAACCTCCACCCGGCCCCACCTGGAAGCACACGGGGGGGGGAAGAAGGGCAGTTCAAAAGGAAGGCATGCCTTTATCACCTGCACAGTAGACTCGATTTCTCGGTTTTATTATAAAATAGAAGCAGAAATATTTCTCCAAAGACCGTATTCACATAATATAAACAATACACAAAAGTCTAGGGGGCTCGCTGGTGTTCCATAACCGGCCCTTGGGTTTCCACGAACAGCATTGGGTTATGCTGTACAGACAGATCCAAAGCCCTTTCCCGTCCCTCTTTGATTGGAGGGGGGGGATGCTTATGGACTCCACGCCGGCAGAATCGGGGCTCGCTGGACCCTGAACCCTGGATAAGTTAAGCGAAGGACCAGGGCTGGCCCCCAAGACTTTAAAGGGGGAGGAAGTTGTTGTTATTATTCATAATAATAATGAGTGATATAGACTATCTCAATCGTTAAATGTGCAAAATGCCGTACAGTCTTCATCCTCACAAACAGCCCTGTGAGGTAGTTTGCCCTTGTTCCCATTTTACACGAGAGGGAACTAACTGAGGCCGAGAAGCGAGGGATTTGCCCGCTGAGTCCAAGAACCGAACTCGGATGTGCTGGCTTCAGGTCCAACTCTGGAGCCACCGAATCGGTTGAAGGCAAGTTCTCTGACTTAAGCGGTTTGTGGATCGCCTCATTCTTGTCCCAGAGAATGGCCAAAGCACCACACAGACAGGCGAAATAAGCTTTTTTTTTTTCCTTTTCCTTTTCTTTTTTGCATAGCATCAGCTACAAAGGAGCGGAGGGGGGGGCGAGGCTAGATGCGAGCTGCTCTTTACAAGGTAGTTACTGCAGCGTTTCAATTGTAACTTACACTGGCCTATATTAGTTTTCCTGCCGCAGCTGTGTTGGGGAGGGGGGGCCTTTCCTTTACACCGGAACTCTCAGGATCCCCCCTAAAATGCAGAGCGCCTTTGACTGTCACCCTCAGCCCACATTATTCCAACGGGAGTCAACAGAATTGCTTTGGGGGCACAGAAGTTGTGCACTGCAGCCTCGGACTCCCACCCCTTATAGCCAGGACAGGAATCCCACTGATTTCAGACGGACCTGTTCCCAGGGGGAAATGGAATCCCAAGGCAGGGTCGGTCACCGGATCCCCAGCTTTCCCACCGGCCTCTGCACCTGTGGCCTGAAGACCACCTTGACGGGCAGAAATCAACAAGTGATGCCATTCATCCCCCTGCCTGCGGCGAAAATCTTCACCTTAGGGGTCCCTGCCGATTAAGTCGTAGCTAAAGGCATAGCTGCACAAGCCGGTGGAAACCTTGGCCGACTCCGGGGCTGAGTGGCAGAAAGAGATACATGGAGGGCTGGGGACGGGGCTGCCTCCTGTATCAATCCCCCCCCCCCGGGAGTCTTCCACCCCTCTGCAGCCAGTTTCTCCCGACCTTCTTCTCCAGACATTCCAGCGGGGCTTGCGGACTGCCTCGAGCTCCCGGTCCCTTCCGCCCGGCCCGCCATCCCAAGCGCGGCGTCCAGTCTGCCGTCCCTTATTCAACGGTCCCGGGACCAGGTTTGGGTTCAGGGGCCGCGGGCGGGGCCCTCGAGGGTCTTAGGAGCCCAGGTCGACCAGGTTGGAGGACATGGAGTTGAGGATGGAGTCTTGCAAACTGTGGTGGTGCAGAGGGTCAGCGCTGGGTACTGGAATGGCGCTGGGACCCTGAGGGTGGCCCAAGCCGTGGAGCGGCTGTAAACCGGGGTTCGAGTTGAGCAGCAAGGCCGGGCTGGAGGAAGAGTGATCCGGCGTCCCGGAGGGCGTTTTCTCGTCTTCTGAGCTGCCCAAAACCGCCTTGTTGCCGTTCAGGGAAGAGGAAAGCGGGTTGTGGCCATTAGAGCTAGAATTTTCGTTGTTCTCCCTGGAGGGAAGGGGGGGGGGAAGAGAAAGAAGGGGAGGGGGCATAGCTTAGACTCCAGACTGTACCGACCGGTCCGAATCTCTGCAGAACTGCCTGCCTGGAAGTAAACCCAGCGACAGCCCCCAGCTCTTCCCCCAGCACATCACACAAAGGAGAGTTTCATTTCCTTTGACTCAGAGAGGACTGGAGGTGACTTACAAGGCGATCCTCGGCAGTTACACCCAGGGGGGGCCCCATCGCCTTCAATGGACGTAGAAGAGGACAACCCTGCGGGGTCAGGGCGGGCGCCCCGGGTGACCGATTCGATCTTGGGACGGTTCTTCCCCCCTCTATCTTTCACAACAACCCGGCGGGGCAGGGGAGGCCGAGAGACAGCGCCCGGCTGGTATGAGAGGGCCACCCCCCGCCCGTTCCAGTCAGTTCGTGGAGGAAGTTCCTTCAAGCCCCGCGGGGGATAATGGACGCGAGGCCTCTTGTTGGGTATCACAAGTTGGAAACACTCAGTATATCTGGGGTTAAATGTTTGTTTATGTTACTCACAGGAAGTCACATGTTTCTCATGTAACCAATGTTCTTTAGATATAGGAAGCCCGGGAATTTTCTCCATGATCTAGGAGTTTGATTGGGACGAAAGTGTCAAAGTGTTTTAGCATTATTACCATTTTATGGCTTCTCTTCCCGTCTTTGTTTGGTGTTCTGAAGAACAAGAAGAGCAGCCATAATCTCTCTCTTCTAGTTTTGTCTTTGTAGAGTAAGGATGTAGCCGATTATGCTCTGTTGTTATTTTCATCCCAGTTATCCTTCCCATGCTAGAATTTAGTAAAACCTTTATATTTTAATCACACAGAGACTCTCCGTCTGAATTATTTTACTCAGGCTCTGCTGGGCTATCTTATCTCTGCTAAATACCATTGTTTTCAATATCTCACTATCACCCAACACCTCTCCTGCAAGCGCCTCTCCCAAGGCGCCCTTTGGCGGGAGGAACCCCCACGGCGGCCCGCTAGTTTCACAGGCCGCGGCTCACCCCGAGAACTTCGTGCTGCTGCAGCTGCTGCTCTCGGTACCTCCGCCCTGCTGACGAGTGGCCTCTTCAGGCAGCCACCCCCAGGTATTAAGGGACACGAAAGCGCTTTCGTTAGATCCCCGATCTTTCCTCCAGAGAAAACACCACTGGCCACATCCACCGCTTAGGATTTCTGCAGCCAGCCGGTTCAGTCGGCGATGACTTTACATTCCCGTGGAGGGACCCGTGGAGGGATGCCTTCTAACTCCCAGGCGCTTCCTGAAGTTTCCGCAGGCCGCTGCCGGGGTCACTTGCTCGGCAGAATGGGGAATGCTCGCCTGGGCAGAGAGATCTGTGTTTCCCATACAGGCCTCCCAGACGGAGGACCGCAGGCTGGAAGGGCCGCTGCCGCTTGCGAGGAAGCTGACCCAGCCCCCCCGGAAAGTCTTAAGGGGAATTAGCTGCCGGGCACGCTAGCTGGGCCCTGCGGCAGCCGGGCTGAAAATGAGCGGGCCAGTCCTCTGTGGACCGGGTCCGTCTGCCCCACTGGGACCTGCTGCAAGGGATCAGCGGGTGACCAGCTGCGCGGGGATCCTGAGCGTGGAGCCCCGCTCGGCCACAGGAGGCCTCGCTTTCAGGTGAGTCTGCAGAGGAGTGCCCCATAGGGATGCAATCGTGTGCACATTGACCTAGCAGTAAGGCCCATTGCCCTGACCTGGGTGGCCCAGGCTGGCCGGATGATCTCATCAAATCTTGGAAGCAAAGCAGGGTCGGCCTCGGTCAGTATTTGGACGGGAGACCACCTAGGAACACAGAGGTAGGAAATGGCAAACCACCACTGAGGGTCCCTTGCACTGGACGCCCTGGGGGGGGGGGGGGCCTTAAGGCGGCCCCCCTTTCCACCAGCACCAAAGGACCCGAAGAAAGACAGAGAGGACGGGGCTATATGGCTGCAGTCACACGTGCTAAGTAATCCACTTTCAGTGCACTTTCCAACTGGATTTTGCCAGCTGGAAGGGCCACAGTAAAATCCAGTTGGAAAGTGCACTGGAAGTGGATTGGTTAGCGTGTGTGATTGCAGCCTGAGAGACGGTTGGGAGCGGAGGAGTAAAAGTCACGCTTACAACTTCTGCCTCCAGAACCTGGCTGTGTAGCTCCAGAACCTGGCTGTGTAGCTCGCCTTCACTTTTCTTTGTTCATTTTACTTAAAGTTCACCTTTCTTGCTGAAGGATTCCAGCATTTCATTTTTTCAAAGAGCCTGAGGCTCCCTTCCTAGAAAAAGTCGCACTTTAAAACTTTCTAACAGGCTGGAAGGAAGGCGGATGGAAGGTGCGGTGGTGTGCTCACCGCATCGCTCCCCCAAGAAAGGAAAGCGGAGCTACCCGACTGGGCCGTTTGCTCCACAGAAGTCCGGCACTGCAAAGACGGGCGGGCACGTTGGGATCTTTCCCTGATGAGATCCCTCTCGCTCCACGCATTCGTAGAGCGGTCTGTCAAATGCGCAGCTGCGGGGCCAGAGGCGGGTTCCCGCACCGCCGGGAAGAATCAACGGCCTGCGCAGATCCAGGCCAGCCGCTGTTTCTTCAGCGGGCAGCACCCTCGCTGCCTAGGGCACTCTGGGAGCAAGCTTAAGGAGGTCTAAAGGTAAAGGTTCCCTTGCTCGAAAGCCAGTCGAGTCCGACTCTAGGGTTGCGGTGCTCATCTCTGTTTCAAAGCCGAAGAGCCAGCGCTGTCCGAAGACGTTTCCGTGGAGCTGGAACTAGAGACGGGAGCTCACCCCGTCATGCGGCAACTCGAGTCTCGAACTGCTGAACTACTGACCTTCCACAGCCTACAGTTCAGCGTCTTAACCACTTGAGCCACCGCAGCTCCTTTAAGGAGGTCTGCTCAGATGCAAATCCCATCGTTGGTGAATGGGGCTTATTCCCGAACTGGAGCCTGATTTGGGACTGGATCCTGACTTCCGCGGAATGACGCATTCCCCCTTATTTCGATTAACTTTCTTCCGAACAAGTAAGGCCACGATCCTGGGCATGCCTGTTGATGAATGAGCTCTGTCAAAGCACGTCCGAGCAATCATACCCGACACAGGCAAGACATCTGTTGGGTATTACAAGTTGAAAACACTCAGTATATCTGGGGTTAAATGTTTGTTTATGTTACTCACAGGAAGTCACATGTTTCTCATGTAACCAATGTTCTTTAGCTGTAGGATGCCCGGGAATTTTCTCCCTGATCTAGGAATTTGATTGGGACTAAAGTGTCAAGGTGTATTACCATTTTATGGCTTCTCTTCCCGTCTTTGTTTGGTGTTCTGAAGAACAAGAAGAGTAGCCATAGTCTCTCTCTTCTAGTTTTGTCTTTGCAGAGTAAGGATGTAGCCGATTATGCTCTTTTGTTATTTTCATCCCACTTACCCTTCCCATGCTAGAATTCAGTAAAAACTTTATATTTTAATCACACATGGACTCTCAGTCTGAATTATCTTACTCTGGCTCTGCTGGACTATCTTATCTCTGCTAAATACCATTTTTTCAATATCTCACTATCACCCAACAACATCAGTGTTCCCTCTAAGCCGAGTTAGTGTGAGCTAGCTCACAGTTTTTTAGCCTCCGGCTCACACATCTTTGTCTTCGTTCAGGAAGGAGGGCGCCAGAGCAATCTAATTTATGCAGTGGCCCAATCGCTCACTCACAACTTTAATGCCAGTAATTCACAAAGTAGAATTTTGGCTCACAAGACTCCACAGTTTAGAAGGGGGCGTTGCACACCTGCCATTTTATGCCGTAAGGTGTCGTGTGCAGGCACACGATGAATCAGACGAATCTGATGAAGAGTGTATACACACGAAAGCTTAGACCCAGAACTAAACTTTGTCGGTCTTAAAGGTGCCTCCGGACACCACCTTGGTTCTGTCTAGGATTGCACTGCAATCCTCCTCTCTGCAGCAGCGCAGCTCATCGGGATGAGTGGGTTCACGTGGATACATTCCTACCATACAGACATCATCCATGAATACCCACAGAAATCCATACACCTCTTGAAATAACAGGACTATATAAGTGGCTTGATGTAATATAGTAAATATCATGTAAGTACGAAATTGTCACTGGGGGTGGGGGATGGGCATGTGAATTTCCTGCCTTGTGCAGGGGGTTGACTAGATGACCCTGGAGGTCCCTTCCAGCTCCATGATTCTATGACTTACAGCTCGATTAAACACCGCGATGAACCGAAGCATTTCCCCAGCCGGGCTGCCAGGCTAGTCAGGGGAGCTGACCTGATGCCTATCCAGGCTCTGAATGGGGCTGAAGATGGGAGCTTCCTTCGGTTCCAGAGACACAAGCCGCTTAAGCGCCGCCAGGGCCGCTGGGATCCACCCGAAGCACAGATACCTGCCGCTCGAAACGACTGGGGCAACGCCCCCTACTCTCCCCACCCTTCAGCATCTTTATTTGAGAAGCAGAGTCCCTGTCGCTTTGGATACGCGGCGCTGGCTCAGGCCCGCGGTGGACTCCCTGGAAGCGGGCAAAACCCTCCAGGGGAGGTCGCGGCTGGAGCGCCCTTCCCAGGAACTGAGTCCGTGGTGGGACTCTTTCTTGCAAGCCAGCAGAGTCGGGCTCCCCCGGGATTTGCGACTTCGTTAGCCTGACTCGGGATTAGGATTAGCCGAGGTGTCCCCCTTGGGTTTTAGATGGAGCCAACTCTCTTCTGCCTCCCTGAGCCCTTCACTCCGGAAGTGGCACCCACGGGACCCCCATCTGCTTCCAAGGTGAAGGTGTTTACAGAGCACCGTGAATTTTCCATCCCTAATCCTTAGGATACTCGGATTGCTTGGCCAGGGACCGAACTGCCAGATCTCCCCCATCTTATTCGGCTGGGTTATAATTTACCTGGCCCGTTTCCGCCTTCAAACCCCAGCTGCTGACTCATCAGCACCTGAAAGCGGCCTCGAGGCGCAGCTGGGGTGCGTGTGCGTGTGCGTCGGGGCGGCCAAAGGCGGCTTTCTCGGGCCTCTGAATCACTCGCGGGCCGGACTGACAGAAAGGTGCAGGCTTTCGGCGGTTTACAGGCCACAGGGGATCTCGGCTGTCTGGGCCCGGCAGAGCTATTCATTTATTCAGACACCCGATCTGTCTCCTCGCCAGAGGCCGCCGGACCCGAAAGCTAGAGTCGCTGCCGCTTCCAAACCACAGGAGACCTCTAAATGGGATATTAACGCTCTTCCTTTGGGTATTCGATGTACTCGGGGTCCTATTAAGCAGCGAAAGGATCGCTTTCACCTCATCAAGCCGAGACGCCCAGGACCGTTTAGGCATCTGGAGGGAACGAGTCCGCTTCCGAAGCCCGATCCTGGTCGGCCCGGAGCGCAGCCACTTCAACGCGCTCTCTCAGGGGAGCTGAAGAGCTACAGAAATGCAGCCACGCCGGATCCAGGCAGGAGGGACGGCAGACATCCCACTCGCCAAGGGCTCCCCCCCCCCTCGAGTCCGCAGTTCTGCCCACAGTTTTGTACTATGCGGCATTTACTTTCGAGTAAGCACGAACCCGATGGAGCTGAGTTCCTTCCTCACACAACCCCCAGCCATGAAAAACACTCCCGGCCGGGACACATGAACGCGCACGAAGCTGCCTTATACGGAATCCGACCATTGGTCCATTAAGACCAGTATTGTCTCCTCAGATTGGCAGCGGCTCTCCGGGGTCTCAGTCGGAGGTCTTTCCATGTCACCAAGTGCCCGGCCCATTAACTGGAGCTGCCGGGGATTGAACCTGGGACCATCTTTTGCATGCCAAGCAGATGCTTTACCACTGAGCCGCATAAGAACATAAGAACATAAGAGATGCCAATGTTGGATCAGGCCAAGGCCCATCCAGTCCAACACTCTGTGTCACACAGTGGCTAGAAGGACCTAGTTAATTCCAAGGCCACTTGTTCTCATACTGAACTGTGGGGATCTGGGATCTGAAACCATCTGGACCCAAGGGAAAGTACCACTCATACTAGACCTGTCCAGAGTTTCTGCACAAATTCCTGCTCGGTCATAGAAGAGAAATATTAGGTGTTGAATAGTGTGTGTGTGTGTGTGTGTTTGTGTTTGTTTGTTTGTGTGTGTGTGTGTGTAATACTGAACGTCTTAGATATAGTGTGGGGAGAGGGGATTTCACCTAGGGACTGAAGGCTGCATTTCAGCCTGCAAAGGTGTCAGTTCTGCAGCTTGTTTCTAAAGGAGGAGAGCACACTCACTCGCCACAGGGCGGACACCGAGTTTTCAGCGTGTTGGTGTAAGACTGGAAACTGCTGATGATAAACTATTCCGAATTTAGGCATCCAGTGTAACAGATTGGGGGTATAACCCTATCCACCTTTACTTTGGAATATCAACACCATCGAGATCGGTGGGATCTACTTCCGAGTAAATATACCCGGGATGGGGGCTGCATCTAAAAGTCAGCTGGGACAAACAGGTCTACAAAATGGATCCACAAATATTTAAAACAGACGAAAGTGAAAGTATAGCTATTTTCGTCCTATTAAAAGCCAATTAAAATAATCGCAAATCCGAGGTTGTGGATGATGGGCTGTTTTCAGATTCAAGCTTCAAATCTGCACACACTTGATCGAGAAAAATCCCACAGAATGGTAGGATTTACTTCCAATTGAATATGCACGTTTGGAGTATGGTGGGGCCTACAGGCCTCCGATCTGCATCCACTTTTTCATGGAAATCCAGTGGATCGCCTCCGCGTTCGGAGACCAATTCTCCAGAGACGTCTCCAAGATCATGGGGGGGGGGGGGGACG